GTGTTCTTCTACTGCCTTTAAATAATCCATTGCGCTTTCCTTTTTAGGAATTGCACCACGGGTTATAATAGAAATGATGCTCCTTATGATCATGAGACTCATGTGATTAGAACGTTCCCACTTTTCATAAAGTGCCTTTTGCTTACCAGTATTGGCACTAGTGATTTTAGTGGGTTTGTCTGTTCTAATTGCAAGATACAAATCCATGCACCCTAGAACAATCATAATCTGGTATTTCCACTTGTTAAAGTTTGTACTAGTTAATATTTTAATGCTTTATAGATAACCAGTAACCATTGCTAGATTAACAACTGCAAGTTTCATACAAAATGTGATCCCACATAAAATACACACACATCAATTATCTAACTTAAAAATGGGGTAATCATTAGTTAGATCTCATCAAGACCATTGCATAATCCTGATCAGGTCTTGACCCAAGATCGATGTAGGATATCGTTCCTCCATTGGGCTGAACGATAATTCTACAAATGATCTCGATGGTCCATACTAAGTAAGTGATTTTATCGGTTGGGTAAGCTCATCACCATTGGGTTACAAGTTTCCCCAAGAAGAACCCCTTATTTAGTCTTTCCATCCCACTCTAACTATTCAAGGTAATGTTCTTCCGTTGGGCCGATTTGCTACCCATCGTAGTTAAGTGCAAATATGTGACTTATTTATAGAGGAGAACCTCACAGTCACGTCCAAATAAAGACAATATATATAGGTTCATTTTGAACAAAATTTTGAACAAAATTACACAATAGGATCCTCTATGATCCTTCCAAATTTTAGCTCAATCCGAGGTCGAAAACCCCCTAAACCGGCCTCAAGAAGTCATCAATATGGTAGTGAACCGGAAGATCAGTCACTGAACTGGTCCAATATCTCCTTATCCAAAGGGTTCTTTTGTCTGAAATTTCATACATAATAGGGCCATAGGGTCTAGTGGGGGCCCACAAAATTTCAGCTAAATTGGAGTTCAAAAACCCCTTAAACTGGCCACATAGTTGTGACGTTGTCATAGTCAGTTGGGTTGATCCGAACCGGACCTGATCCAGACCGAACCGGTTCTGACAACTCCAATCCAACCCACACGAAATTAAACCGGTTCAAGCTAAAAACTCAAACCGAACTGGGTTGGACCGGTTGGAACGAGTCAAATCGAGTCAAACCGGAATCATGCACCATAAGTTTGTCGGGTCGGTCATCCGGGCACCCGACCCTCGAGCATCAACTTCTTCACCCGAATCTGTTGCTACAGTGTTCACTCGACCGAGCGAACATGGCAGCACCGAACGGGTGTTGAAGGGCGACTAGTAGACGACAAATTGATCAAAATGTCACCACCGACCACCCAAAAGGGCGGGTATAATGATGACTATAGAAGCATTCTTTGCTCTAGAAATGGACTGAAATAAGTAAAACCAACCTTGAACTGTTGATGTGAAGTTGGCATCCATGGCTCTATTCCGACATTAGAGACCTTCAGAAACACCTCTTGCAGTTTTGTTATTTTCTCTCTTTCTCTTCTCTGTAAGAAAACGAAACAGAGAACACTTTGCTCCCTGCTGAACTGCAAAATCTGAAAAACTGAGTATAATGGGGACTCTTCTCTCTAGTCACGGTTGCTCTCAACCGATGGATGGCTAGTGTGTGTGTGTATGGGGTTTTATTTGTAGAGCCTGAACCGCCTAGAGAGGGGCCTTCCTTCATGGTTAAGAAACTATAAAACCAGAGGCTCCATCAAACTCTGTTTTACAAACCATTTGATATAAAACCATATACTCCCCTCTCTCAGTGGGAGCCTTAGGTGGGCTTCTAGAATAGCTTGCCATTTCAGCAGTTAGTTCTAGACACTACTGGGTCCCAATTGCTAATTCATCTCAAGCTATAAATTCTAACATAGTAAACAAAAACTGGAAAGGATACAACTTGGGCTTCAAACGAAGTAGAAAGTTTGTGATGCCCTCTAGCAGAAATATACTGCAGCTATAGCAGAGCAAAGGCATTGCTCTTCCCTTCTTAAAGCTTTTCAAGAGTCAACATTTCGTGTAAAATGGCTTAATCACAATGGAGGCATTAATTCAAGCATGTTTTATGTTAAGAATGTAAATTAAAAAGAAAAGTTCAATATGCAGTTTATTATTATTTTTCTTTTCTTATTTTACTCCTTCACACTATCAAAAGCTCCATCTCCCTTTTGTTAGTGGGTTGATCCATCCATCACCACCGGGTCCCTTTTATTCTGTTAGTACAATTTCTTTGGAGTTTGTAGAGTTGTAACTCCGCCATGGCTGACAGTCTCGTTGCCACCAGATATCACTTCCTATTATATAAACAAAATTAATAACTTTTATAGAATCAGCGATGTGAGGAGAATAAACGGTAAAATATAGAAATCTGGTCTGGTGGGTGAGTAATTATTTTCCTTCTTTTTGAGTTTCACTTCACATACCATGATTATGGCCTTGATGTTGTCTCTAGGTAAGCCTTCTAATTCATTCTTTTTTTCATCTTCGTAATAAAAGGGTCCCCTTTATTTTGTTAATGTTCTCCATTAAATGTTCAAAACCATTGTTTTTTTGCCATTTCACCTAATTTCAATGAAGACAATGAACAATATAAAAAGGGTAGTTTGGACATTTAAAAAATTTTAAACAATCGGATGAAWTTTTTTTTTGAAATTAACTAACAGAACATTAACAAAAAGGAGGTTTTTTGTCTAATGGCTAAAATTCAGGGGTCTTTGTCGCAAAAAAAAAGTACAGGGGGACTTGTCACTGACCCCATAGTACAAGGGGGGTCTTTATAATTTACCCAAATATATTTATAGAGGGCCGCCGCAGACCATTACAATGGAAAGTAAATAACAGAAAGGAAAAAGTTAATAAGAGGATTCAACTATCATATCTGAAAAATTTATGACCAATCAATTGGAATCATAAACCTAGTAGCCAATCAGGTGTTATTTATCATAAATGATTGCATTTGGCCGATCTCCAACAGTTTTGTCATGGACTCACATGCTTTTTACTTTGTTCTACCCTTGAACAAACTCTGTAACTAGGTAGAGGTTAGGGCTGCAACTTGGGCCGGGTTGGCCCGAACCCAACCCGAAAAAGTCGGGTTGGGTTGGGCTGAGTTAATGACTGGGTTAAGGTTAGGATTGAAATTCTTGAACCCGACCTTAGTTCGGGTTAGGTTAGGATTGACCCCCCAGGCAACCCGAACCTGACCCCCTATAGTACTAAACTACTAGTCTACTAGTCTACAACTCTACTACATGTCATATATATATATATATAGCATACACTTGATTTGTTTAGATGCATGATAGTTGTATAGCCCCCTACATACTATCATGCCTTTCTTTAAGTTATTCACAGGTACTTGACTACTTGTCTTTTCCTTTTGTCTTGTAATTTTTATGTATGACCTATCAAATAGATTCAAATTAGTTGCTTGATCCTATGAGTTGTTATTAGTGATTTTATTTTCATAATTTTATGTTTCATTGTTGATTTCATGAATTTATATTTTTGAGAAAAATTCTATCATAAGTCATAACTCATGATAAATAAATACTTATTTTTCTACTAGATTTTAAAGGATGAGAAGGTTGGGTTGGGCCCAACCCAACCCGAATTTTACATCGGGTTGGGTCAGGTTGGGTTAGGGTTGAAGGAATTAGTTAGGGTTAGGGTTAGGGTTGAGTAGGTTGGGTTGAAGGTTGGGTTGGGTTAGGGTTAGGGTTGGGGGTTTAGAACATAGGGTTGGGCTAGGATTGGCCTCAACCCGACCTAACCCGGCCCGACTTGCAGCTCTAGTAGAGGTAGTGAGCAAGTTATCGTTTCTACAAACCCCTCGACTATGGTCACTTCCGGATCTTTTGCCACGTGTCCTTTGCCGTCAATGACACGTATCAACTGCACAAAAACAATGGAGAGAAAATCAAAAATAGGTATTAACGAGTTCAGATAGGCAATTACTGAAAACGAAAGTTTGATCATCAAGGAAACATGGAAGTCGTGAAGCTCTCAGCAAACCTCATAGAGATATAGAGATATATGGAAAAGAAATAAATAATTTACGTAGAAAAATTAGAAAAAGAAAATTATATCATTGAGAAAAGATAAAAGGGTGTGAAAGTGAAACCGTATCTTTTATGGGCCGTTAAATTGTGGGCCTGAAAAAGATCCACAACGTAGTGTGAACTGGTATGACCTCATGGGTCATGCCATAGACTTGTACTTTGATCGAATTCAACATCCAAATCTGACGAGTCAGATTTCTAAATTTTGGATCATATTTCAGATTTTGTATTTTTTTGGTAAAGATCAGATTCAGTAATTAATAATTTCCCGAATTTTAATAGATCAGATGAGTTAAATGAGAATAAATCTGCACCCACAGAAGATGCCCCACATGTACATCTCAGCGTCTATTGAGAACATCTCATGAAGTTATTAGTGAGAGATGTTTCCAATACACGGTTAGAATATGCTGTGGGGCGCAGATGTAAATTCGAGTTAAATCCGTATCTAATGAATTAAAAAATAATCAAATCGGATGTTGGATTGGATATCAGAGTTTTGACAGCCCTAATAATCATGAATAAAAACATATAGGTAGAGAGATATTCCCAATTCTGTTGCAAGTAGCTGAATACAATATAAACACAATCTTGTGAGGACCGAATCCGATCTGGGTGGACCCCACTCTCATAACTCCTATCAGCAGATGTCCCCGTGTAGATCTTACGGTGATACAGTCCAATGCACCTAATATTTTATGGAACGCATGTATTGGAAACCAACCAACTAACCAACAATTTATCCTTGCTAGGTTTCTGAGGCACCTCACTGGTCACAACCTTATCCAATTGCCAAGAACAAATCAGAATTTTCCACGTCATACCCAAGTATCAAAATGTATCATGCCATGGCATTTTGAAGCCACATATCACAGCTTGTGGCTCTGCTGTAACGTCCACTTTTTCTCCAACGGTTTAAGAACTTCTGACATTCTGAAACCAGACTAGAGAGAGTAGAGAGAATCAAAATCATAAAAGGTAAAAAGGATTTACAGGGAGAGACTCTGCTTCTCCGATCATTCATTCAGTAGCCATGGCAGCTAAACTCGTCTCCCCAACTGCTGTGATGACTTCTCTCCCTCAATTCAGTGGGTTAAGGCCCAAATCACAAACTGCCCGTGCAGACAGCCTGGTGAGTTTTCACTTGCATTCCTTAGAAATTGGCAGTAAACCAGCTGATTGCATTTTGTTGCAGAAATTTTCAAGAAATCTCTTGGATCTGTTGCTTGTGTAGGTCAGATTCATTTAGCAAACAAGGCAAAGAAAAGGCTTGAGACTATGATATGGAAAAGATATGATATTTGAAAATCTTCTAACCAGTCAATTGGAATCATAAACGTGGTAGGCAATCAAGTGTCATTTACCAAACTTCATGGGTGGGTTTTGATTGGTCAAAACTCTTTCCATACCATATCTTTTCCGCATCATAGATTTTCCCTTTGGTAATATGTTGGATTCTTAAGATGTCTTTACTTCTTCGCTCTTCAGTAGTAAATTGATTAGGACTAGAACCATCTTCCCATGCCTTCAAATCTAGTAACAGTGCACGTTCAGATATTATGACAGAAATTCAAGTTTAACCACACAGCTGAGTAGATATAAATCTAACTTCAATTCCCCAGAAGTTTCATCTCCTTCACTCTGCTAATAGGTGACTCAGGCACTCAGCTAAGTATTCGAGGTTTTCTAATTGAAAAGCATAATTAGAATTAATTAGAAAGCAGAACAGGAATCGAAATATTTTCTGGGCTTCAAGGGATTTTGAAGAACTGTAGCTTTTTCTATGCAAAAATGGGGGAAAGCAACACTGTAGAGTGTAACTTCAGTGAAAATACAACTCTTTTGTAAACTGGCATGTAATTTCATTGGTAGGTGTCGTTTCAACCTATCAGAAGCAAGGGGAAGGGTGCTCTTGGTGCTCGTTGTGACTTCATTGGTTCACCCACAAATCTGGTAAATATTTCAGTAAGATTTGGCTACTGTGCACTTTTACTGCTTTAACCAAGTATAGATCCATCTACTCTCAAATAGAAAAGCAATGCCTAGATGATGCTTGAAGAAATTCTTTGTCCTCTGTTTTGAGCAGATAATGGTGACATCCACAACCCTAATGCTGTTTGCTGGAAGGTTCGGATTGGCTCCATCAGCCAACAGGAAGGCCACACCAGGGTTGAAGCTGGAGACGAGGGACTCTGGCCTGCAGACCGGAGACCCAGCTGGTTTCACCCTTGCAGATACCTTGGCATGTGGGACTGTTGGTCACATTATTGGTGTTGGGGTTGTTCTTGGCCTCAAGAACATTGGTGCATTGTAAATTTTTTTAGATGCTTTTCCTCTGTCATTCAGTTGTACCATGCACAAGAGTTTACATGTATGGAAAAGTTGTTTGTACCCAAAGCCTTTTTGTTGATTAACTTCGGCATAATAGATATGCCATACTTAGGCTTGAATCTGACTTTTTTTTATGAGAAAAAACAAACCAAACTAACAGAAATAAAAAACAAAAGGTCGTTCAACCGTTCAATACAATCAGGATGGCTGTCCCAGACTACACCATCATTATGTTCTTCACTAAATCTAAGAGAGGGCAGCTTATTAAAAGACCTGAATCTCAGATGCGCCTGAATGATGTATTTTTAATTAATCCATGGAATGATGAATCAATCCCCTTGGTCAAAACAGAGGTCTATTTTCCATGGGAAAAAAGAAAACACATCAAGTAATTCATCATCTCAATTTTTTTCTTTTTTTTTTTTCTGATCATACCTCAGTCATGCACCATGCACGTTATTCTTCATTCCCTTGTTTCCTTTCTTCCCCTTGTTCAAATGAAATTTTCTAGACCCTTTGCCACCTTTTCTGTTGTTTCCCCTCTTTGAATTGCCCTTCCCTTGCTTGCCCATTCCACTAGACCGTGAATCTTTCTTCATTCTACGATCAACTAGGACCTTCCCTTTGCCAGCCTTGACTTGGACTCCCTTCTTTGCGACCACATACTCCTTCTGGGGCTTCTTGGGCATTGCCTTCTTATAAAGTTGGTCAATCAACTTACTCTTTGATCGGTCAGAGATGTCTGTCTGGTCTGAAATGGCGTTTGCCTTCTGACGAACTTTTTCGAGCTTTTTCATTGCTAACCGCTTCTTCCGAGCTTTGGCCTCTGCCACCTTCTTAGCAGGGCGGGCATCTATTTCCTTAAACTGTGCCCTCATCGCAGCAATCTCTTCCTTGGTTACAGGCTTGATTGGCTGGTGATGTCTCTTTTCCTCCTCCACAAACCATGAGGGCAGACCCTCGTCATCAAACATGTACTTATTATAAGCCTCATCAAGGATCTGCTCCCTCTGCTTTTTCCTCAGCATCTTTCTTGCATATGCTAATATCTCAGCCTTTTTATCATCGTCTTCCTCATCCAATTCATCTGAAGAGGAGGATGAATCATCACTTGAATCTGTAGCTGGAGCAGGCACTATCTCAAAGTCCCCTTCTACCTTGGAATCTTGGGGACTCTGAATATCAGGTTCTTTCAAATTATGCATTGCATTTTCCTTATTCCTTTTTGCAATGGGAAGTTTTTCCTCGTCCAAATCTTCGTCCATTTCATCTTCACTTTCATTCTTTTCTAAATTATCTTCTTCCACTGCTTCAGTGAAGATATCCTGACTAAACCACTTCTCTGTCACTTGCTCTTGAGTTGGCCGTTCCTGCTCATTAAGTGGCACCATCAGAGGATTTGCTTCATCATTCTGGTCTTTGTCAGAGTCAGGATCTGAATGAACTAAATCATCATCACCACCCTGCAACATCAAAAGAAAATTGATGAAACAAAAATTAATTCTGCAACCCACACTGTAATGGCCTCCCTCCATGATAGTGCTAACAGGAGGGCCACTTCTTGTTCTTGGAAACAACCCATCTCTATGCATGCACTAGAACTAACATGCATCTCAGGGCAAGAAAACAAACAAAGATAGTGGTGGAGAAAAGATTACAGGACAAGATAATTGTTGCGGCAAGAAAATGAGTGAAGAACAAGGGAAATTAGACTCCATAGAAACAAAGACAACTTGAAAGGAAGCAGGTTCCAACTAACAAAGAAAAGGCATAAGACACAAGAACCAGAAGTTCTGCACGTGCAAGCAAGCATGCAACCAAAAAAGACAACCATGCTCCATACCTCCAATAGTTCATCCGTGTGTTTAGAATAAGCCCCCTTGGCACGTTTTCGCTGTTTTGTGCTTCCTCCCTTTCTATCCAAATATCGTTCATATGCTTGATCAAGGAATTCCTCTAGTTGATCATCATAACTGCAGACATAACAGTATTTAGTTAATGTTTACTTTCACGATTACTCAAGAAGGATAGAGGGCCTATAAATCACCGTTTTTGTTCTTCATCAGTGTCAGCATCACTGAATGAAGCTTCTTCAACTTCATCCATGCGCATGTCTTCATTATCACTATCTCCAATATCACCATTCATGTCATTGGCTTCCATGGAACCAACAGCTATCAGGTCTTTCTTTCCCTGAACATTGAAAATGGCACATTACAATGACTTAATACTTATGCATGCACATAATACACACACAAAAAGCCATAAAGTTGACAAGTCTCCACTAGTATTTTCTCAAAATGTCAAGGTATGAGGCTATACATTTCAATTGCCTAAAGCGTGATTGTGGAGCCTCTTCTAGTTGCAATAAATCCTTCTATATTTTACTCTGGCAATGAGAATCAGCTTGAATAAATCCCAGTTGGACTTAATTCTTAGGAAAAGCAAATACCATTAACATTTTCCTTTTGATTTTTCATATCATAAAGGCCACAGCATGTTTATGAGGCTTGACAGCTTTGATTTGAAGTGTGATATGATTTGTATTCTCATTCTCACATCATGAGTATGTGGGGGTGGAGGCAGGGGAGATAGGGAATGAGGTCGGGTTAGGATAGTTCCTTTGCCCTAATGGACTTGTTTTGTTGGTGTGATTTCACATTTGGAGGGAGGCTTTGATCCCTTTTTTTATATAAATGAAAAAATTAAATCTATTCAAGAAGGAAAAAGAAGGTGCAAAGGAGTTAAGGAGGTGATGAGAAATCACCCAGCCCCAAAGAACAAGAAAAATCCAACCCAACACAAATGGAGACACCACTACCAGCAAGCCCTGAAAAACAACAGAAGAACAACCACCCAACCCTTAACAGAAAACACAAGACCCCCAAAAATAAAAGTACTTCAAAACCCTAAAACCCTTACCGATTACCACCCCACCCAACAAAGCAATACTGTTACCACTAAAAGATCTGAATTGCCCCAACCCTTCTCCATTGACTACAGATTAACATCATCCCTTGGAGAACCTCATTACTTCAAAACCTTCTTTGTTTTCTTCATCTTCTTAACAGGACCCGGTCCAAATAAGCCCCCCCTTCGGTCTGGCAAACACCTTTGAAACCTGAACTGCTTTTTGATTTTTCTGTCGTCCACCAATAAGGAGGAGGCTTTGATCTTTATTGGTGGATGGGCCCCAAGAGTCCTAGCTAGGTTGTTTGTCGGGTGGTTTTTTTGTCTCTGGAGAATTTTGTATACGATTTATGTCTTTGCTCATCAGCCCAGTTAGTCTTTTTGTTAATGGGCCTCTTCTCTTGTATCTTCTTTTTTTCCTTTTAACAAAATTTACTTTTATCTTCAAAAAATGAGTATGATATGCTTCACCCATGCACATCAAGGCTCACACCTCAGACACCTTTGTCAGGGGTGGCTTTTTCATTTTTCCGGGGGATTTTGTATATGATATATGAATTTAAAAAGTTGTCCAAATCTATGACATGTGATTTGTATGTGTAAGTGTACCTGGTGCTAGCAGCGGCCAACTTTAAGGCAACATCTGAAGCACCAAAGGGGAAGGGATTTTTTTTTTCTTTTTTCTGTTGTTACTGTTCAGATGTGCAAAAGGAGGGGATATTAACTCAAAGCTTCTTGTATCATAACTCAAATTATCAAATTCTATGTCATAACTTGAGTTACCAAAGAGTGAAAAATATTGGCTAATTTTCAAAAATTTTAACACCGAACAGGAAATCTCACTCAAAGAGATCAACACTAAAAAGGAACAAGCTGAGCCTAAACACAAACAAACCTTGATAGATGAAAGAGAAAATAACTCTTTGTCAATGTAACCATCAGCCATTGCATCTATTTGCATCCCTGTTGCCTTGCGAGATTTGTCCTGGAAGTTTAAAATCAACAAGCCAATAAAGGTCAACAAAAATTACATTCTCATGGAAGCATCTTGTAGGAGATCTTTGAAAATGTATCTTGAATAGAAATATAGACCTTCGCTTGTCTTTTGGCAAGAAGCTTCTTTGCACGTTTCTTTTTGCGTTCCATAGCATATGACAACTCCTCCATTTCATTGAGAATCCTTTCATCTTCATCATCCTTATTACTATCTTCATCATCTCCAGCTGTATAAGTAGCTTTCTGTGAGGGGGATAGGGCTTTTCTTATGTGCATCCTCCACCTAAATGCACAAATACACATTGTGATATACGCAAATACATATACAGTGGAAAAAAAAAAGATTATTAAAAATAAATAACCAAAGAAGACTATCAGGGAAGGGAGGATATGGAAGAGAAGGTTGTTAGTGACTTTGAGATTTCCACCCTTCACTTTACACATAAAGCACCAATTTGGGGACAAGATCATAAAAGGTTTCTTCTTTTGCAAGTTTTCCACAATATTGATCTCACCATAAAAGGCTTCCCAATAGAACACAGCTATATTTTAGGAGGTATTGCCTCTTGACCAGATTTCTTTAATGGGAAAGACCTAAGTGGAGGGGGTGGAACAGAGGAATTTAAAGATGTACAAGTGAAAGAGCGAACCGGTGTTAGAGACCAAATTCTTTTATTAGGACTAGGGAGTCCAAACACACAAAGTCTAGAAGCAAGAGATCTGAAACAGAAGCAGATTCATCATCCCTTAAACCTCTTCGAAACCCAAAATCCCAGTTTAAAGCCAAAGGAAGAACCAGGGGGAGAGGAACCTTGAGATAGGTTTCTTTTTAAAGAAGGAGATGGAATAGAGGGAAGGGAAAAGGTCTTTTAGGGGTTGAGTGCCCACCCAAATATCTTCCCAGAAAAGAACTGAGTTTCCAGAGCAAGCATGGCATGGGTATACTATTATGTTAAGCCAAATAAACATTCAAAAATAAGCATTATTACACTCATCAAAAACACATAAGAGAAAGAGAATATCATGACTAACTTCAAAAGATGCTTGAAGTCCTGCTTTCCCAGAACACGTAAATCTTCACATAGAGTTTTAATCTAGGAGAAAGAGACCCATAGTTAGTTGAAACACTTCCAAAAGGACGACAATACATGGGATAGCAGCAGCTAAACAAAAATGGCAACAAGAAGTAAATTCACCTCTTCTGTTGTTAAACTATGATCCTTTATGMATAAGCAAGCAGGATTGTCAAAGGAGATAGAAGTAACAGAACCTAAAATATCAAGTGGAGTCTCAGACCACACAAAATCTGAAGCCAAACAGATCTTCCTTAAAGTTGTATTTCCATCCTCATACCTGCAGTTAAGAATAGCAGCAGCAACTGAAACTTCATTGCTTTTTCTAATACAACTCCAAATTTATTCATGAGTACATCATATACATAATCACAATAATAGTAGGGAGAAGTAATACATGATTTCCTCAAAAGGTAGAAAACAAAAGAACGGAAAATTTCATGTCATTATATCAGTATGCATATTCATGACATGAAGTACGCAACCTAGATCCTGTCCCCTCTTCTGTTATATCCCCCCCTTATCAACAAAAATTCCCTTCTTGTAACATGGATGTTTATCAAGCATTTTTAAACCTTAGAATTGCAAATTAACATGTTCCTTTGAGCATACTCACCAAAAGAGGTAAAAACAAAGTAAGAATATTGTTAGAGTCGGCTGTAGAGGGGTAGTATAGGCAAATTACATTAAGTTATATGTTGGATGTAATTACAAGTAGGTCTTAAGTTAGCTGAGCTCTCACTTAAGTGAGGGCACAAGAGTAATTCAGATTTGTTTTTTAGAAAGGTATAAATAAAACCTGGCCGACTAGAGAGAGCAGTTCTTTAGTTTGACTAGACCTTTTTTCTCTTCTCTTCTTCTCCTCTCTTCTCTTCTCTCTACTGTTTCTACAGGTTCCTCTTCTCCTTATTATTTCGAAATATAAGAACACTATATACCTGAATTCTATCAAATATGAATAGGAGCAGTAATTACCACTATTGATTAATATTAGAGTCAGCAAGATGCTGTTCACAAAATGACAACCAACTCAAAGCAATAAAATTCATGCTAAAAAGAGAATTTACCCATCACGGTGTCTCTTTTGCTTGGTTCCTCTGAGAACATCCACTACCTACACCAGGATAGTTTATAACAAAAAACTCAATGTTATTGATAAAAAAACAAGAAACTCAATGTTAAATCATAGCAGGAGAAGAACAGAAAAGTAAATAAGCAAATGACACTGATAAGTTAAAATAAAGTACCTTGGGGGGCTCTATGACCCCTTGAAATAGGAATTTCACATCAAGAAGACGTGGATCAATCTTTGCAGGGGCCTTGTAGTTCAGAGCAACTACATAAATCTCCGCAGATGCTGAACGGCTGGCAACTGGTTTGGTGACCTCAACCTTACCAAATAGCTGTTAATGAAAACCCAGAATTAGACATTCATACCAACTATAGGAATATAATCATGTCCCAAAACAAAAGAAACTTCACCTGCTTGAGACAGTAGAGGATCGCATTGTAGTCCTGTGACCTAAAGACCTATAAACAGAATGAAAAGATAAGAATTCCAAGCATAGCATTGAGAAAAGAAATGAAGAAAATTTCAGAGAGAACACATAACCAAGTTCCAGTTAATGGAGATAGCAAAGAAATGGATTGTTTAAATTTGTTGGTGGCTTATTGATTCCCGATGAGGATGAATTGGCAAACACCACATCTTTCAAGGTTAGACCAGTGTTTTAAAAGCACAAGGTGCAAAAAAGGCGCAGGGGTCAATTTACGCCTGAGGCGCAAGGCGAGGTGTGTGTCTCTTTAAACAAGGCACAAAAATAAAAATAAAATAAAATAAAATAAATGTTTTAAAAAACCTATTATCTAATATTAAAATACATAAATATAACATGTAAAGCATATTCAAATGAGAATTTAAAAATAAAATCGTATATAAAACATTTTTCAAGCATATAAAACCCACAATCTCTTTTTTTCTCAATTGCATTACTTCAAGTAGCTAACATGATGTAAAACATATTACATTCCTGATTCTACGAGCCGCCTTCGTACCACACCCCTCGAGGCAAGCCCAAACAAGTCCATGTTAGGTCTTAAATTCTTAGTTCTCACACAGAAAATACTGATTTTATAGTTTTTATTGCTTCTTAAGAAGACATTTTATTAGGATGAATGAACAATATTACCAAATAGGGGTGTAGCATGGGGGTCCGGGGGCAGAGCCCCCGGCCCAGCCGCTAGACAAAAAAAAAAGCAAAAAAGCGTCAATGTTTCAAAAGGTGTATGCCTAGGCTGAGGTGCACCAGGCACATGCCTAGGCGCACCAGGCGTATGCTTAGGCTGAGGCTGAGGTGCACTAGGCGCACGCCTAGGCGCACCAGGCGTGCGCCTTTTGAAAGGGGTGCGCCTAGGACTTGGGCAAGGCACCTACCCTGAAATGCGCCTTGCCTGTACGCCTGGGTACACCTGAGGCGCGCCTTTCAAATCACTGGGTTAGATTGATAGGCAATGCTATGTTTCCCTTTATTTTACAAAGCATAGGTAAGGCAGGAAACCATTCTTCAATGGAAATTGTAGATGGAACATGATCCAGAACTTATATTAAGATTGAAGAAGTCCATTGGTGGGTTGTTTCAAAGGTTTAGCATCATTCTTGACCTTTTTTCGAATGTGTAATGGGTATTCATTTACATGCTTAGGGTTTGTGTACATTCGAGGCCATTAGGAATCCATGTTAATTATATTACAGGAATGTCAAGATGATGTTAGTGGAATTTTGTGATAACATAAGTGATATCCCACCAGAAATGGAGTTGCTCTATGAAGTGAATGGCTACCCCAATAATTCATGATTAAAGGAAAAGATATTGCATGGATTAAAAATTCCCAAAAATGCTACGATAGACACTATGCATGAAAGGCAGAGAAGAAGGGCAATGAAGCTTACCAGATGGGTAGTGAAGTCTTACAGTTGGGACAATGTAGTGGAAGAAGTGCAATGATGTTTTAGATATTTTAGAAGACAATGGAACACAGGTGGCTGAAAATAAGGGCAAGGGAATTTCTGGAAAGTTGGATTGAAGAAGTGGGGCCCAGGATTTTGAATTTAAAATTCAAAATATTAGTCAGGTAAAGCAAACAGGGAGTTGGTAAGTTCTTTCTAATAAATGGTGGCTCACCAGAACCAAGGGCTATAAAAAAATCCCAAGGACGGGACCTAGTTCTATGATTTTCTTCTTTTTGGGTTAGTAATGGTTCTATGATTCTTTATAGGCTATTAGATGCTTAGGTTAGTTCTATGATGCCAATCAAAGGATACAAACATCAGGTTTACAAGGTAGGACTTAGGAGATGGGAAGACTTGAGAGATAACTCTGATAGATTTAAAGAGGGTATTGAAGATATTAAGTATGAAAAATGGGTGTGGAAATTTCAATCGAAGGGATATGGTAAAGATGGAATGATATTTTGAGTGGGTGAGGATATTAGGGAGTAGGTTACTGCCAAATACCCAATAATGGAAGAAATAAAAAATAAGGGTAAGAAAGGTTATTCATTTAGATGGGAAGGTTAAGGGTCTAGGGAAGTGGACAAAGTGGAATGCTTGTCCACCACTTCTTGTTGTACTTAATCTTCTAATTAATTAATGAATCTGCGTTTTTTTTTTTTTTTGATCAATAACTCTGAATTCTTTCATTAATTAAGATGCTTTAGGATACAACAAGAAGTTGCAAAGAAATCAGCATAGAAGCTGACCCAGGACAGAATTACAAATGTGCCCAAAACATATCTGTTCTTTGAACCCCTTGCTTTGCTAAGCTATCAGCCAAACTGTTGGCCGATCTCCTAACCCAATCCACCTGAATAGACATATTCCTTGACATCCATTTGAACCTTCTGAAATCATTCTTCGGCTTCCAGGTCACTCCTTCCCCTTTCTACAACCATTTTATCACAGTTTTTGAGTCTCCCTTAATGATCAGTCTATTAATCTCCAGCTCTTTGGCCTTCTCAACCCCATACATTGCAGCTAGAAACTCTGCCCTAGCCACATCACCCTCCTCCACAGGACCAGAGAACAGAGCAATAATGGAACCATTTTCATTTCTAATGCCCCCCCAATACCTGAAGGGACTGGGTTACCCACCCACACAACTCCCATCGAAATTCAGCTTCTTCCAACCCTCTGTTGGAGGGGACCAGGTCTCACAAAACTGTTGCCTCATAGATGATGAAGCAGCAATAAGTCCCCAAACCCTGAAAAAGTCTTCAACTTTAAGATCTGAGAACAGCTTTAAGCTTTTTACCCAATGTGTCACCCTCAATGTTATTGTTTCATCTAAAGCTTCCTTGCATTTTTTTTTTACTTTCAAATATTCTATCATTTCTTTCCTCCCAAATGGTCCAAAGTATTGCTGCTCTAGTGCACCTCCACAGAATCCTTCCCCTCTTTGTCTTACCACTGAAACCATTAGGGTTGAATAAATCTTCCATCCTGTCAGGAGAGGACCAACTGCACCCAAAAAGAGAAGTAAACCAATTCCAAATAAAACTGACAAAAGAGCATGATAAAAGATGGTGGAATACAATCTCACCATTCAACTTACACAGGTCACACCAATTAGGGGACAAGCACCAAATTGGTCTTTTCCTTTGAAGTACATCAAAGGTATTAATACAACCATGAAAGACTTCCCAACAAAAAACACTGATTTTAGGGGGAATAGGATGACACCAAATTTCTTTGACTGGAAACTGAATAGAAGACTGTGGCAACCATCAAATGTAGAAAGGATTTACAAGAAAAAGATCCATCAAAATTATGACCCCAAATTCAAGAATTTGACCCACCTTCCCCCAAGAAAACTGAATTCAGCAATTCTAACAACTCAGAGACTGCAAACAGTTCAGACTCTCTAAGATTCCTATTAAAACCAAGGTTCCAATTCAATCCTGGAAGGTGAGAATGCTGGTTTAGGAAATCGGAAATAGGCTTACCTTTGAACCTAGAGAGATCACAAAGAGAAAGAAATTTCTCCCCTAAAAGAGTATCCCCAATCCACAAATCCTCCTAGAATCTGATTTTACTACCAGAATACAAATCATACCTGATAAAATTAAGGAACGTAGGGAGTATATCATGGATGGCCTTCCAGGGAGCAGCCAAGTTAGCCCTACGGAGACATCCAGCATCCCATCTGTTGCACGACATGCAATGAATGCTTGCAACCACTTTGTGCCATAATTTCTCATTTTCATTTGGAAACCCCCAGAGCCATTTTCTCAACAAAGCCTGATTCTTCATTCTAACATTATCTATTCCAAAACCCCCTTCCTCTTTTAGTTTCCTCACCTTCTCCCATCTAACCAAATGATCCTTCTTTTTTCCCCTAGCTCCCATAGAAAATCGCTCATGATTTTTTCAACTTTCCTCACTATCCTTTGTGGCATCCTGAACACTGACATGTAGTACATTGGGATATTTGCTAAAGTGGATTTAATTAGGGTTATTCTCCCCCCCCCCCAATGAGATATAATTTCTTTTCCACACCGCCAATCGTTTCTCTATCCTTTCCACCACCGAAGACCAAAAATTAGCAAATCTAGGATTATCTCCAAGGGGTAAACCCAGGTATTTCATTGACCACTCACCTTTCTCACAACCTAGAGAACTTGCCAAAAATCTCACATCATCCTCTTCAATGTTGACTCCAACCAATAATCTCTTTGACCAATTAATCCTCAAATTAGACATCCTCTCAAAGAGATTCACAACCATCCTCTGATTTTCCACTCCCTCCCTACTTTCTTCATCACAAAAAATAAGAATGTCATCTACAAACTGTAAATGAGTTACTAAAACGTTGTCCCTCCCAACTGACCACACCATTTGCTTTTGAAATCAATTTACTTAATGCTTCAGCAATCAGGGTAAATAGAAAAAGAGAAAGGGGGTCACCCTACCGAAGCCCACGGAATCCTTCAAAGAAATCATACACTGTCCCATTAACTATAACTGAATAATGACAAGTTTGCAGGCATCCCATGATCCATTTACACCACATGTTTCCGAACCTACATCTCATAATTTCAATCAAGAAATTCCAATCCACTAAGTCATAGGCTTTTTCCAGATCTAGCTTGATAGCCACCCCCTTCCTTACTTAATACTTCAGCAATCAGGGTAAATAGAAAAAGAGAAAGGGGGTCACCCTACCGAAGCCCACGGAATCCTTCAAAAAAATCATACACTGTCCCATTAACTATAACTGAATAATGACAAGTTTGCAGGCATCCCATGATCCATTTACACCACATGTTTCCAAACCTACATCTCATAATTTCAATCAAGAAATTCCAATCCATTAAGTCATAGGCTTTTTCCAGATCTAGCTTGATAGCCACCCCCTTCCTCTTTGATCTTTTATGAGCCTCTACGCATGTTGTTGATCAAAAAGAAGGTTAAAAGGGTCTACAAACCATAAAACACTTAACATCAAGGAGAGAGGCATCTAGCAGGCTGCTAA